GTCTGACTCATTTGTTCTTCTCAGTGGAAATTTTTAGGTAGAGGACAAGTTGAAATATTTCAATTTTTTTATTTTTGTATAACTGTTGTCTAGAACTGAAGCTGTAATCTTTGGATTTCACGTAGTTATCGTGGAAATATCTGCCTCAACCAGTGTGGAGGGTTATTTTTGGTAGTAGAGCTCAGGATGTGAGAATGTGGGTGGTGAACACCCGCACGTTTTTGGTAACTAGTGTGAGATGTATCAGGTTTTCTAGCTTGATGGGAAATATATTGGAATTTTGTTTATGCCTCCGTACACTGTCTGTTATTGGGCATTTATTTAGTTAGAGGATGTTTGGTGATTTAGGGACTTCCATTGTTATTTGGTTTAAGCGGTAGCTGGGGGACTTAAATTGTTGCCAGCAAAAACAAAGTGGGTGGTTGTTATAAGAGGGGAAAACTTGTTTCGTTTTTCTTTTAAAGTTTCGAACTAATTTTCCGTGCTTTTACTTTTTGTTGTTATTACGAGTGTAGTATCGTGATTTAGTTTTAGGAATTGTAAAAGGTTTTAATAAAGGCGGATGAAGTGAAGAGTAAGTTTGCAAGATGACAATCATTGTCCCACAAGTCCAGATTCTGTATTCGAGTACAGGAAGCTTTTTTAGTAAATTTCTATGGGAAAGTGAGGTTTGAATGTTCTTACAGTAAAAAGTACTTGAATGAACGAGTAGGGAACACTTTACCGACTTATTCGGGAGGGAGGAGGCTTCGTTGTTCCTCCAAAACTTTGGCCAATTTGTTTGAAGAGATTTTTGGATTTATAAAGCCTTCTTGCATCTTGTCTGGATATACGCTTGCTTAACACCGCCTTACGATATTGAAGTACTGAGGTGCAATAAGTAGTTACAGAAGAAAACAGCTTTATTTACATTTGGGAGGCAGTCTTAAGAAAAAATGTCGTCGCCGAGCGCCGGCAAAAGAAGGATGGACACCGATGTTATTAAACTGTAAGTTGTTGATCTTCATTCATTTTTGGGTTTGTTAGATGTTTGTGTAAGGTAATCTGTTAAATCTAATGGGTTTCTATCTGATTTTTCTGTTTTATCGTGTTCCAATAAGTGTTCCTCTTTAATGAAAGAATTTTGGAGTGTTTTTATTAAATCTGGATTGTCGGTTTCCGGTCACATTTCTTTCCTGTTTGTTTAATTTGAGACAAAGCATTTAACTTATTATTTGTGTTCATTTTATTGTAGCATCGAAAGTAACCATGAAGTTACCATCACCGGTGGTCTTAACGAATTTGCCGTCAAGTTTTATGGTCCAAAAGGAAGTTAGTTTTTTATTTTAAAAGGTTTCGTTTGGATTTCGACAAAATTTTTGAAGAGGAAGAGCTCTAAAGAAGAACCATTAGGTTTTCCAGAATTGCGAGATTGGTCCCGGAGCATTTGTCATTATAAGCCGGAGTTTACATCTTTCTAAGCAACTGTTTTTTGCTAACAGAGCATTTAATTCACTAATTCAAGGCATTTTTGGAGAAAGGAGTGAATTTTCGTTGTTTTTCAGTGAAGAGTTTTGTTACCTTTGTCTCAAGTTTTTACAACTTTGGAGACTTTTAGAAATTATTGTTTTCTGAAAGGAAATTCAAATTTTTATGAACGGGGAGAGCGGGAGGGGTAAAATGCGAACAAGGTAGAACGGCTTGACGTTTTTTACTTTGTGTCTTAGCTCCTCACAAGTTCTTCACTCTAACGTTTGACCCCGTCTTATTTTAAGGAAAATTACCGTTTTCTAGTTTGCTGAAGAGTTCATAGTTGGCTAAAGTTGGAAATATTTTGAGCAACTTTTTCAATGTACTTTTTAATAGTGAACGATTGTGGCAGTAGTCTGTGTGGCCGCAAAAGGCTTCCGCTGAGGGTTTTATTCCTACGTTTCTTCCTTTGCCTTCCTTCTTCGCGAAATTAGTTGACAATTATGAACTTTGAAACAAAGTCAAGAAAGTATCTTTTGTTGGTATTCAGTTCTTGTAATGGCACGGCGAAACCTGTGTCCAGTGGAAATTGATTTTCAGCTTTAGTGTAATGCCCTTGCCTTCCTGTCTCAATACTTGGTAACAGTTCGAGAAAACAAAGTCACTTGCTCTTTAAAAGGGCAAAAAAGTAGATTGTTCTGTATAAGGCAATAAAAGGCTGTTTAAAGAAGTTTATTTGTATGTGACATCGTGAAATGGAAACTTTTTGCATTATCTCACAGTGAAAGTTTTTTTTTTGATTTTACACTGGTTTCAAGCTAGGTGTTGGTGAAAGCTTGTAAAGTTAATATCTTTTTAGCTGCATACGAGGGGGGAGTATGGAGAGTACGAGTGGATCTGCCGGATAAATATCCCTTCAAGTCTCCTTCAATTGGGTTTATCAACAGGATCTTTCACCCGAACATTGATGAGGCATCAGGAACTGTTTGCTTAGATGTAATCAATCAAGCTTGGTCTGCTTTATATGGTAATTTTAATTGATAAGCACTTTATAGGCATTTTTTTAAAATTCGTCCACTGGCTTATCTCTAAGTTATGTTTATTGTACATCAGCTGAACTTTTCTTTCGCAAATTCAAAGTCTTGCTTTGCAAGAAAGCTTTATTTTCTATATATGACTTTAACGCACCAAACTTGGTGCTGATGCAGCTGTTTTCAATAGTGCACGTGTTATTAGTGCTTTCTTGTGCCAGTGACGTAAGACATCGGGTAGAAATTGCTGATAAGATAATTTTCAAATGAGCGGCATGTTTAGATAAATTATGTGATGCAAAAGAGCTTAGAACTTATTCAAAATAGTTGTTTTGAGCTCACAGAGCTAGCTGGTAACATAAGTATGTAAATATATGAACATACGAATATAAGTAAATTTATATATTTATAAAGTAGCTCTGGAGATTGAATTCAAAAGAATAATTTTTGATTTCTATATATGGTCCATTTCATGCCAAGTGGCACTCATTTTTCTCTTCATATCTCAGATTTTATGAAACTTTGCTCATTAGTGGAGCCTAAACCAGTATAAAGGAAGCCGAAAAAAAAAAGAAGCTTGGAAAAGTGAATTCTCCACCAACTTACACCTCAAAGTTGCAAAATTCGCCAGGTTGCCGCTTGAAATACCTATCTTTCCAGACCTGTAATCTCGCTTGTTCTTAATAGAATTTGAAATTTTTTGTTTACTAGATTTTTCATGTCCTGAACTTTTAAATGCCTCTTTATCACTTTAATTTTTTCTAAAAATCACATAAATACAATAAAAACAAAATTTCAAACGAAGATTAAAAAAAATAACGATGTTTCAAATTTTTTAAATAATACATTTCACGCAAAATTTTTTGCTTTATGACATATCAAAATTTCGAGATAGCTATTTTTTAGTACCATTTTCGGCGATCCGGAATGGAATGTGAAACTTTAAAAAAAATTCGCTGATTGTACAGTGATTTCATATATTTTACAGTGGCGAAGCAGTTTGGAGCAGGTTCTGAAGGCCGCAGCGGGCAAGTGCAAATATCCGGTATGCTTTTAACGTTGCGAACTTCTTACCAAGGTTGTATTTTACTTTGATAATGTTAACAAATGATTGCTCTGCAGAGTTGTAAGAGACATCCTTCAGTCCAGCATTTTCGACTTGTATTTCTTGGTTTCTGAGCTTTTAGAATTGTCTTCATTTTGTGCTTGTTAAAGTTTCGATTGCACAAACGAAAAAAAGCTCGGCTTGTTGTTCTTCTTTGAAACCACGTGCTGCAGTTCTTCATAAATATAGAAAACTTTAAGAAAAACCTTATTTCAATAGGTACCCGGGTAAAGCAGTGAGTTCGTAGACTTTTTTGTGCAACAAAATATATACTGGCTACCTAATTTTGACAGAAATTATAAAACATAAAACGCTGGAATGAAGAGTACCTCTTAGAACTCTGCAGAATAAGTATTTGTTAAAAGTATTGAAGTAAGAACAACTTTGGCAACAAATTTTCAGCGTTTAAAGCATACCGATATTTGTGACTGCCTCTGTAGCTTTCAGAAGTGGCTCTGAACGGTTTGGCTTTTGTAAAATATATGAGATTACTGTAAAAATATTGAATTTTTTTTAGATTTAAATTCCGTTCCGGCATGCAGCTCCCGATACTGAAAATTAGCCATCTCCAAATTCCGATATGGTGTAGAACGAAAAATTCTGCACGAAATATGTCTTTTTCAAAAAATTTAAAACTTTTTTTCAAGGTTCAGTCGATTCTTAATTTTATTGCATTGGTGTGACTTTTTGAAATCATTCTCAATGGCTTTAAAGGCTCAGGACATGAGAAATCTGCAATAAAGACATCATTAAATTCTATCAGAAACAAGCTGATCTAAAAGCATGCAACGGTAGGCGTGTTGAACGACAAATTGGCAAATTTTGCAAATTTGGTGGGGTGTATCTTGGCCGGGAATTCGTTTTTCCAGGCCTTGTTTCGGCTTTTCCCATGCTAGCCTAGACTCTATTACTCAACAAAGTTTAAAGAAAGTTTGAGATATGAAGCAGAAAAAGTGTGCCAGTTGGCATGGAATGGCTCATATATATCGTAGTGTGTAATCAGGTGTACTTTTTAGAAGGTTTAAAAAGACTTGTTTTTCTAATTTTTTGGAATATTTTATTTGCATCTGTTTTTTTATTAATCACAGAAGTTAATATTCTTGAAGAGAGGAGATCTGAAACCTAAGTGAATCTTGTATAGGTCGAAACCAAATATTTCTGCTGGACATTTGCGGGGGCATGGCGAAAAACCCGAAAGTTTTTCGTTTGCTCTGGGAAATGTTGCCACACAACAAGTTTTCTTGGAGTTCTTTATTTTAGATCTCGCGAATATCTTTGAATCTTTCTTACCACAGCTCTTAACATACCCGAACCCAACAGATCCATTAAATGGCGATGCTGCAGCTTTATACCTTCACAAGCCTGAAGAATTCAAGAGAAAGTGCAGGGGTGAGTGTGCGAGTTTTCTTTTTTAGATCATATTTCCTTTTGATGATAAGTACTGTAATTGCGAAAAAGTTCATGTTCAATTTTATGGTGTCATTTTGTTCTGCAGAGTGTAAAAGTCTCACAGCCTTACCAGAAGGGAGGATAAGTATTAGAACTGTCTGGGTTTTCCTTCTTACTTTTGCAGAATGCTTTAAGCCGTGATTTTATTTTTATTGCTTGAAGGTGCATGTTTTATAGGAAGCTTTGCTATAGGCCCTTCTTACCGTCATCATCGTTATTGCTGTGATTGTTGTTAACATTTATTTTTATTTTTTTTTTGTTTGTTATTATTTTCTTGCTCTTGTTATATTATTATTATTATTAATTATTATTATTGTTAAT